TAAGATAACACTCAAAAACACACCCATGAGCAAACCTCGTCTTGTTCAAAGTTATACAAAAAAAAAAAAAAAAAAAAAAAAAAAAAAAAAAAAAAAAACAGAGCCAATTCTAACTTGAAAACTTCTAGCCTTAAAAAAATTTTGAGTGAAAATTGGAATGTTTTCCACGTCACAGAGCATTTATTTAATTACGGATAAAAGTTAACAGACTAAATAGAGATATAACAGTTGTTTAGCGGCTCCTCGCGCTAGATAAACACAAGGAAATTTTTCATTTTTTTATACAGTCACTTCTTGCCCTCACGGAATCAGAACAAAATCGGAAGTCGATAGCCTCCACCTTCGCATAGTGTCTATCCTTGTCTGTCTCAGGTACGCAGGCGATGATCTGCCTATCAGGTTGTTGGCTGCAGAACTTAGCGTTCTTACACACACACACACACATTAAAAACGGTGTCACTTTCTGAAGATTTCCTGATGGATTACTAATTATCAGAAACTGCAGTTTATTTTTTATTCTTGTCAGAATTTGCATTTGTCTTAACTTTTATAGAAATAGGACAATTTTCATTTTGTTCATTTGTTTGTGTATTAGAAGCCATATTTAGTGAAATAAAAGATTCAGCCCCGGCAGCAGCCCAGCCCACCACAGAGTCCAACATAGGGATGCAAATTCCTGCGACAGGGTGAACTGACTTTATACGCAATCTGAAGCCCCACAGTAAGCTTTCCAAAAAGCGGAAACACCCGAAACCACTGATACCAAGGACTAGTGACCAACCGACTGACACTACAGGGGACAGCTAAGAGCCTCCTGTTTTAATCTGAAGCAGAGGGCAAAGTAGTGTGTTGGGGACAGTACCCCACCCCTCAACTACCAGGATCCTCCTTTCCAGCTTTATGGGTGACAAGGCACGGCAAACGCGTAAGCGGTTTCCTGTTCATGAGAAACTGGAAAGAAAGTGATGTAACAGAATCACACATTCAGTCCCAACAACCGAAAAGGAAACCCACTAAGGTGCAAGAAACGAAAATAGAACAGAAAAGCAGAGACGAAAAAGAAAGGAAGAAAGATCACTAGGGCTCCAGGATCGCGAATCCCATTTCACCAAGAGGGTGATCTTCTGAAGGATTAGGATACTTTGAATCTTAATGAGTCTACATTTTAATCTTAATGTAGGTCTGAAGGATTAGGATTTGGGATTGCCAGACTCACAACAAGCTCTGAGGGTGCTGTTCAGCTGTTATCATTGTTAAATTTATAAGGTATTTCTCCCGCTTTCCTAGCGTGCCTTCGTGGTGTAGTAGTTCTGCACGCTGGGCTGGTATTCCAGAGGTCCGTGGTTCGATTCTAGGCGGAGACGGTTGCTAATTTTTCATCTCTCTGGCCTCCAGAAAATACCTAATGTCTCTACAAATTGATTAAGACAAAGCACAAGAGGCTATTTCTCCAAAAGATTTAACTTTGTAGAGGACTTTAAAAGGGATTCTGGTGAGACATGGGAAAACACGAAAATTATAAACATCCAAACCAGGTCAAACTACTGGTATTCAGTGGTCCTATCCATCCAGCCATTGGTGGGTGTCAACTGCTGTTCATAGCTCGTTCACTGTGAATTTCTTATTGTATCAAATGATTCCCAGCACAACACAGGATGACTTATATTGTTCAAGCTTCTATCTCCAAGATATAAAAGGTAAAAACGTTTACTCATTGATGATTTTCTTGCCTAAAATAGGCATATCTCTGCTTTTCTCAAAGAAATGCCTTTAGAGAGTTCTACACGTCATATATGTAGAATCTCAAAATTAAGTTACACTATAAGGTATTTCTCCCGCCGTCCTTGCTTCCTAGCACGTCATATATGTAGAATCTCAAAATTAAGTTACACTATAAGGTATTTCTTCCGCCTTCCTAGCGTGCCTTCGTGGTGTAGTGTTTCTTCACGCTGGGCCGGTATTCCAGAGGTCCGCGGTTCGATTCCCGGCGAAGGCGGTTGCTAATTTTTCATTTCTCCAGCCTCCAAAAAAAATCCCAATGTCTGTCTTTACAGTGGTGCCCAAACTAAAAGGGTTGTGGATGATGACTCTCCATACCCAGGATTTGACGATTGTCCGCTAAAAACCCCAGTCGCCCTTTAAAAGGGGGGGGAGTATATAAGGTATTTCTCCCGCCTTCGTGGTTCTGCACGCTGGCCCGGTATTCCAGAGGTCCGCGGTTCGATTCCCGGCTAAGGCGTTTGCTCATTTTTCATCTTGCCTGCTTCCAAACAAAATCCTAATGTCTCTACAACGCCTGCGAAAAGTGTTATCAATCATATGCTCTTTTTTTTGGGGGGGGGGAACTATTGATCTAGAAATTTTCAGTTCTATCTATCATCGTACAGTCTTAATGTAGAGTCATTAGGATATTTTCAAGCAGGAGACGTGAGAAATAAGCACTGCTCTCACCGGGGACTCGAATCTGGACTTTTCAATGCACCGACTGTGCTAACTGTTACACCACAAAGGCATGCTGGAAGGAGGGAGAAAATACAAATGGTTCATTAGGTTGTAAGATTCTGTAAGTAATCAAGAATATGTGATCGATGACTCATACATTCTTGATATTCAAGTAATGAAAAAAAAGTCTTAAACTTCAAAATTTGTGCATGGAAACTTGCTTGTGATATGTAGCAAAAATATATGCTCTATTTTGAAAATGTGAAGTTACAGTAGAGAAAAGCTTTTGTTTTAGTAAAAGCAAAATAATTATAAATTTTTACTATGCAACACATATGTCAAAGACAAGCATGATTGATATACACTGATGTGCAAAAATTAAGGACAAGATGGTTTTTTCAATATAACTTTGTACAAAAGCTTTCCAAATCAACACATTTAATACCGTAAGATCCCCAATACGTAAGGACATGAGTAATGTACACAACACTTACTAAAAGAGAAATCAGAGGGATAAAAAGAAGCTTTATTGAAAAAGTAGCATGGAGCGCAATGCAACTGAAGGCCGAAACATCCCTTTGATGGGTGTCCAGCAAGAAACATCCGGTCTTTAATAGGGGATATGATCTCCCCTGACTGCTAGGCAGGTTTCACAGCGTTTGCCCATGCTGAGAATGAGGGTGTCAATGAGTTGTTGAGGCATTGCTGCCCATTCGTCTTGCAGCGCCAATCAAAGCTCGTTACTGGTGGTAAGATACGAGCTGCCAAGCGTCTGCCTAGAAAATCCCATACATGCTCGCTGGGATTGAGATCCGGTGATCGTGCCGGCCAATCCATACGTTCAATATCCTCACTCTCTAAGAGCTGTTCGGCAGCTACTGTGCGATGACATGGTGCATTGTTGTCCATGAAAAGGAACTGCGGTCCCATAGTGCCTCTAAACAGACGCACATATGGAAGAAGAATCTCGTTACAATAACGGGTCCCGTTGACTGAACCTGCATCGAAGATGTGAAGGTCTGTACGACTACCAAGCATGATGCCTCCCCAAACGAGAACACCACCACCTCCATACCTGTCCCTTTCAATGATGTTCGAGGGATGATTGCGGCTTCCCCGCTATCTCCAGATGAGTATGCGATGAGAATCGCTACTCAGACTGAATCTGCTCTCATCTGTAAAGAGTACTCGTCCGCATTCATTGTCTCTCCAATTCCAGTGTTCCCGGCACCACAGAGAACACCTTCTCCGATGGGCAGGCATTAGAGAGGTACACACCGTACAGGGCGTCGTGCAAACAGACCACCACCGTGCAGTCTTCTGGCCATGGTAAAACGCGATATCGGTCGTCCAGTCACCTGTGTTGTGTGTCTAGCGATTTCTCCCGCTGTCTCCTGCTTGTTTCTTCTGGCCTGTAAGGCAATATACCGGTCATCTGCGGGTGTGGCTCCTCGTGGACGACCACTACTAAACCCCCGGATAGCTGTTCCTGTAGTTTGAAATTGTCTCCAAAGTCGTGAAACGAAACGATGCTGTGAGCAATTCCGAACTCTGCAGCCACACTTGTCACACTGCGGCCTTCCTCCAACTTCCCAATGATTCGACCTCGGGTAAAAGCATCCAGATGTCGTCTAACAGATTGATTATTCGCCATTTCTCGCTGAGGCAGCAACTCGGTGTGATTTTAACTGCTATACGGCGTGCAATCTCTTTGCCAGAAATACTGATCTTACACCGACAACATGCTGTATAATACTCAGACACTCCCCCATTACGTCTACCTGCATATCTGCGCATGTGCTACCATACATCACCTTACTTAATCTCCTGATTGGTCTTTCTGTCCGCTCTGCCTCTTCGTTCAGCTGATATGCTAATTTTTCAACTTCGTCCTTAATTTTTGCACACCAGTGTACACAAAGCATCCTATGACTCTAAGCCTGCAGAGTATCCTATGATGGTATTGACAGTTCAAGAACACTGGCTACTTATATAAAGGCAAGAACCCCAGATGGCCAGTCATTTCCAATGAAACAGTGCAAAAATTTAGTTTCACATATAAATTAGTAACTGAGCTATAGGAAACTTGCATTAGCCCCTTATTAAATTTATATCTAAGCTATAATAGATACAACTTATTCTTTTTGTTTAGACTCAGAAAATGCTGCTGCTGAATCTACACATGCATGTATAATGAATGGTTAACATTCATACCTATTTTTTTTAAAACTATTTGAAGAAAGATTTAATTGCAGTTTGTTCACATACAGCTGGTGTGACATTAAGAAGGGAAAAAAAGTAGCTGTAATCAAACTTTTAGATATTTTTCTTAATATTGTAATTTATTACTGTATACTGCTTAGCTTCTTATTTACAGTAGTATCACAAGATTCAGTAAGCAAAACCATTAAAGAAATCATTTTGAAATATTTCTTGATACATTTTATCACCAATCAATGAGATTAACCCTCCAAAATCAATGAGATTAACCTGAGACTGGTAATGGTAAACGTATTGAAATATTTAAAAATTGATATTTTGTGATTTATTGGTAAAAGATATTAACAATTTTTCTCATTCATATACAATTATTAGTATTTTCTGTTTTTGTAAAAAATATAACAGTTCATTAGAATTGCATAAGTTGTTTATATAGAATAAAATGCAAACTCTTTGTCAAGTTTTTCATAGCTCACCACTGCATGTAATCCACAAACAGGATAGGTCTACAAATTACATTAGTAGCAAATATGTGTTCTATAACCAAACATAGGGAAGATTTTGCAATGTTGATTACAACTAAAACCATATTATTTACAGATGCTGCAATATAAATTTTGCAATCGTATGCATGGAAGACAATTCTTCCACTATCTAGTGGTGAAGCATTTGTTGGATAGGTACGTTTGTGTACTGGACATGGAAAATTGTCATGCTGTTACTGAATAGAAATTATATTTACTTGAACATTTTATATGCCATTTCACTGATAAAGGTACATGGGTCCTTTTTTTCTACAGAAACACTGTAAAAGGTATGTCAGATTTTAATACGTTATAGTTGTTATTTCTCTAAATGAAATATGATTCAGAAAAATACACATTTCCTCTCTGAAAACTGTTGTATTACCTAATAATAAATTTCTATCTTTTTTTGGATTGATCAATATCAGAAGATGACTCAATGTTGTTCAGATGACCATGAGATCATTGACCATACACTCCGTAATCTTTTGCTTTTGGAATGTGCTTTAGACTATATTTATATGCTCCTATTGCTAATAATATCAAAACTCCAAGACTGCATTATAGCTCCTTTGATGACCATCAGCAGGGAAATTTTACTATGTTTGTGAATAGAATTGTGATACCCGGTCGATATGTGTCCTGTACCAACAGGAACACACAATGACCTTTATGGTATTATGTCAAATTTGATGAACTTTTATTTCATTTCATGTAGTAATCATTTTTTATCTGTAATATGTTACAGAATAAAACATTTTAAAACTTACAAATCATGTAATATCTGTATATTTATTAATTTCATTGTACTATAGCTCACTGTATGACTCCCTCTTGAATTTTTGTAATTTTGTAGTAATTTAATTGATTTGATTAAAAAAACTGCACCAAATCACAAGGCAAAAATAAAATCCAAATATTGTAATCTGTTTTAGCAGAGTGAATGTACCAAGAAAACAGATAATTCACCCATTTAAATTTTTCATTCAACTCATTTAAGAAATGAAATACGCTCTTAAGTTTGTGTACGATAATTTTAATATTCAATCCTCATACCTTACCTGATTTCACAAAGTAGTTTCAATCTGAAGTATACATGACTAATCATAATTTATCAACAATTCATATAAAAGAAAATAAAAATAGCAAATTATGTATCATATTAAATACATTTAGTGCAACTTTTTGAGTGAATTTGACATCTCGTGTAATTACTCATCCGTTTCCAATTCATCAGATCTGTTTTACTTTTCGTTTCGGAACCAGACAGCAAATTTCATTTTGTGAAACCACCAAGTCATTTATCTGAACATGATCAACCATTGACTACTTTTTGAAAATAAATAAATAAATAAACTGAAAGCTTTCAGATTTTATATTATGCCCTGAGGTTTTTTTTTTTTTTTTTTTTTTTTAACATTTTGTGTTATCTTTATTTATTAAATATCATGTTCTTCCCACTTAAATCATAAAATTCAATTCAACAGCAATATCACAAATATTTAAAAGAGCATGTCTTTCGAATTCCCAGTACACAGTCTCGCACATTGGAGATAAAAATGTTCCCTCCTCCCATACAGAGTTGCTATTGCTCACTTTGAAATCATTGAGTTTCTTAATCAAAGACTTATAAATGCGTTACAAGATATGAAATAGATAATAAAACAAATTCCAAATTAGGGCTTCCAGATGCCCATATTCTAATGGAGACATACATTATTCAAAATTTGATGGCCCTAAACACAGTTGTTTTATCACAACGTGAGAAACATACATACATTTATGCAGATTCTTCATTATTTAACTTCTTTAAATATAATACTCTAATATTTGGTGGCAACAATTGAAAAAGTGATTCACCATTTATAATGAATCAACGCAAAATGCCAAAACAAAATTAATAGCCTTTCTGGGCAAATTGCCCCTTTGAGCTAAAAAGATTATCTTCAAGAAAGCTGAAAATAAAAAAGCAGGAAAAAAAAAGATTGGCCCACTTTGAGAACAGCACATGACACTTTAGGAGACATTAATTTTTTCCTCCCAAAGACCCATCCTTTAAGGAGTTGGTTGGGAAAAAAAAAAAAAAAAAAAGAGAGGAAAAAATATTTAAAATAGAAAGCAGATGTCAAATTAAGCATAGCAATGCATATCATAAAGATGAGGTAAATAAAGGTACAGTGAGGACTATACATGCTCTTAATAGAAAAGAAAATAATTATTGATAAAATATTGTAAGCAAAAGCTACAATATCATTTCATCAGAAGTACAGGCAATTATATAAAGCATCGGTTAGAGTAGACTGAAGGGTACCCCTTGTATTATTGCGAAGATGTTGTTTCATTTATTGCCAAGTTGTTGTTTCATTTATGTTGATTGCTGAGTAGTTGAATGTTCTGTACATCCGTAAATATACTCAGTCAGTAAATAAAGTCAAGGGAGTGAACAATGCCAAGTTTCTGCAATTCTCTGGTGATTTTTTAAGTGAAAATAGGTCAACGTGTTCATGGATAAAGAAAGTCAAGGCAGTGCACAATGCCTAGTTTGTGCAATTCTGTGATGTTTTTTTTTCCATTAACAAATGTATTTGTTATACCAATGTTTTATTATAACTCTCTTGTTCTGATCATAATTTGTAATTTTTCGTGTCGCATTTATGTAGGTCAATGTGCACAAACTCGGTATCCATGTGCCGCCAAAAATCACCAATGGGTACTCGTAAATATACTTTTACCAAAACATCACTGTGCAAGTAGTAATACTTTATTGATTATGCCAAAGCATTCAACTAGTTGATTTATACATGTATAATGGAGAGAAAATTTATGTGAAGAGGTCCTTTGCGAATGATTAGCATACTTGATATAAAATAAAATAATGGCTGATAATAGAACATCACTAATAGCACATTTCCTTAGATAACCACTCCCATAATACAAATCTATTTAAGTAAGAGGTTATTCTCTTTGGAAAGTTCGATTGCATTTTCTACAAAAAAAGCACACACTGTTTTGCATATCATTACATTCGTCCATATCTGTGTTGATAGCAAAAACTGAATCATAATATTAAATGATGAGAAATATGCCCAAGGAAATTGCAATACAGTTTAACTAAATAAATGGTTGTATAATAGAAATATAAAATTGCATGTTTCCACAGGACTTTTATTAAGAAATAAGAGCTAAAAATTCAATAATAGTGGAGAGCATGCAGTTGTCATGAAAAATTTCATTCATACACAGTTTATGAGCACTGGGTGAGACAGTTTTGAGAAATAATAAGTAAGAAAGTTTTCTCATCATCATATTCAAAGACATTTTTTTTCATATTTTGTACTTGGATCTGTTTGGGAAAGTGACTGATTTTGCCATCAGTAAAAGTTATCCTGCTTAAAACAGTTTATTATTGTGTTTTCTGAAACATGGTTTCAAAATATGTATTTAGAAGATGCAGAAAATACACCAAGGAGGTTAGTCCTTATTAATTCATTTGCACTTTCATCCAAATTTTCCACATTATGAAGAATACAGCTCACCTCACGAAGATCATATTCTTTCATCGCTCTATAAAAATTCCTTAATCGCAAACTGGAATAACAGATATCATGTTTTCTGCAAGGAATAAAATTCCAAATTTTCCTCATTATGAAGAATACAGCTCCCCTCACGAAGATCATATTCTTTCATTGCTCTATAATAATTCTCTGATCACAAACTTGAATAATAGATATCATGTTTTTTGCAAGGAATAAAACTTCGGCATACTTTATGAAGTATGTTTTGTGACATGCAGTTGTGAATCAGATCAAAGGTAAAATTCTTTTCATCTTACAGTTTCTAAATTCATTCATTAAAAATTTCTGTCATCATCTACACCATACGTTATTTTTTCATAATTTCAAATTCATCAAGAAAAAAATCAAATACATTGCAACATTTTGCTCACATTAAATGACATAATAATTACAACAAACGATGAGTCAATTTCCCATGTTTCTGCACAAGTGCCGATGGAACATTGACATTTTGATACACTTAAAAACTCGCAAAACATTAGAATAAATTTTTATTTCAGAGGCAGAAAAGAAACAATTTAAAAAATCATCACATCTGAAATTTAGTGTCATTCACTTCACAAATGATGTTAAATTATGCGAAAGCACAGTCATTTTACGATTAACTAAATTATCAACAGAAAAAATGCGTTCAAAATTCAGTATTAAAATAGTATTTTTATAATTAAACAGTTTCAGTGCTTTCGTAAGAGGAAAAAAAAACTCAGTTTTGTATCCCTGATGGTAATAGTTTTAAATCAATATGCACAAAATTTATTCATACCACTAAAAAAATTATATGAAGTGCTAACAGAGATATTAAAAATTGAAATTGTTTTGTTCTTTTATTTATAATACGTTTAGCAGGAAATAAATGTTAATTCAAAGAACACTGCAATGGAAGTTCTCACATGTCCTATCAAACTTTTGTCAGTGATTTTAACTGAATTATCACCAGAAGAAATTTATTAATAAGCGAACACTACAACAACGAATATCTAAGATATTCTTTGACTACAACAACGTTTGCACCCTAACAAGAAATCTTCGATGTTTGTTTACATCGCACGATAAATTGTTAATCTTTGCCATAATTCACCGCGAAACATGATAAAAAGCCAAATATTGTAACCCATCCAGAAGCCCAGTGACGTCACGGTAAACTTTTCCGTACACCTTTGGCGTGTGTCTGTACATAATTTAGCCTACTACACAGTATGTAGAACCATGGAATTCGAAAGACTATATACAATCAGATTCATTGAGTCAGCATTACGGAGTTTTTTTATTATTATATTAATTATTTTTTAAAAAAATAAGCATTTTATTTATTTATTAAGTTAATGGTCATAATTTATTATATGTGTACTATTTTATCAATTTGAGGCACACTGTATTAATATATGCTTTTAATTTAAATAGATAGGAAATATAGATTAAAGGAGCAAAAACTACAACTCTATACATTCATTGAGGCCCGAGATCGTGTTTTTCCCTCTCGAGAAATTCCTCAAAGGGGCCCCAATGGGTAGGGCTAACACTACTGATAAGGATAGCGTCCCTACGAGATGGTAACCAAAAAAGAACCACATGATTTAAAGCAATTACTAAGTATTTAATGCCAGAACATAATAAAATGAGCATAATAATAATAATGATCATAATAAATAAATGAATTTAAAGGTACTTTAGTGACAGATATTTGATTTAGCTTAGAGAAAAGAAGTTCTACTTATCTGAACGCTCCGTCTTAGTGCTGCAAAAGATTGCAAGGAAGACAAGACCCCCAGGTACAGGAGAACTCCCGGCCTTGAGAACGAGACAATGCAGAGGATATTCGCGAAAATTTTCTTAAATAAATGAAGATTTTCTGGAAAACACCTTTGAAAATTCAGGAGCTCTTCCAAGATCCTGCCTCCATCGTACGTGATCACAGCGCCTCCCCTTGTAATAACAAATGTAAAAACATCTTTAGACTGGTAATAAAATCACGAAACTCCGCAATAGTCGCCACCAAGAAAAAAAACAAATCATCTAAACAAATCTTCGTTGCCATTCCGTAACAGAGAAACTTACCTCTCATGGAGTTCGATAGTGGCGCGACACTTATTGTAGGTGGTGACAGACGTTATTTCAAAGTAATTTAATTGATAATCACTAAGGGGAAAGGAATGTTATTCACTTTTTTAGCGCTGCGAACGTGCCGCTTGCCTCGGTGATCGCGGCGCCCACTAAAATTTCTGTAAAAAAGAGTAGAAGTGAAGTAGTAAAATAGATACGATTCGGTCTGCTGTATGCATGGAGGTAGGAAGTAAGATGGAGTCGCCACTAAACAAGTTTCTCCGTACCCTGCTCTGAAGCACCGGCGATCCCTACGTGGTGACCAAAACATTGGGTCATTTACCATTGAGTTCTATGGGATTTGACGCGTTCGGGTGTAAATATTTTGTAATTACGTCGCAAATATACATATAAATGTATATATTCTTTTTTTCTACAACACTTCAGAGTCCTAAGTATGTGAAAACAACATATTTTTAAACAACATTTTATTCTGAACGGAATTAATGCTATACTTTTCTCAGAATGTTAATTTGAATGAAATATTTTCACAAGTTTTCGTTAATTACATTAGAAAAAAAAATAAGGTAGTTCGATTTTATTCGGTTAAGGTACAAAAATTAAGATCAAAGTTTATTGTATTATTAATATTAAAATTATGCATTATTTCTTTTCTATTATAGCTTCTTCCTAAAATACTTTTCTTAAATATGATTTTTTTGGCTTCTTTTAAATCGAAAAATGTAAGTCAATTTATAATTAATGCTCTATTCGGTTTCATTTTAAATTAGAGAATTATTAGGAAAATAGTATTTGACTTTCTTGAACATTTCTGAAAGGAATAAATAAGTTTTTTTTTTTTTTTTTTTTTTTTAAGTATTATTTAAACTTGTACTGAGTTATTATCAAATGTAAAGGAATATTATTTTTAATTATACTTATCAGATTTTTTTTTTTCTTTTTTAAAATATTTTTTATACAACTAAATTCTCTCAAAACATTTATAAATAATTAATGATTATTTAACGTATTTTGAAAGTACATGCTTTTCAAACAGCATTATAAATAAACATATTTATTTTATCTCGGCATGTGCCATCTTTATTTCTGTTTTCACATTTTTGTTTTAATTTATTTCGATTTGTTACATATGTAATTATAAATTATTTTAATCATCAAACATTCCTTCAAATTCCCCCATCCTTTAGAGCAATAGCCCTTGCATCGTTTACTCATAAATAAACTTAATCTGACCATGTGCCAACAAACAAATACCCATTTACATTTAGCCATCAAGTTTCAACTTTTCAAATCTTCTAGAAAATAAATTTTGGCAGATCTCTTTAGCAATTTCTTAAAATCTATATTTTGTAGTGCAACAGCTTAGAATTTTATAAAACAAATTCATAATCAAACGCTGTTGTTAGTTATCGAAAAAAACCAAGATGTGATTTTTTTGCGTAAATGTCACTAAACTATACAAATTGTACATCCACCACTATGAATGTTTCTCTTCATGCGAAAGTGTCCCTTTTCGTTTTTATGGACTGTCGTGAGAAATACCTATCAGAATTTTGTCAAGCGAGCTTCTGAATGTAAACAAAAAACACCCCGTCTGGTGACCCAAACTTCAAAGCAGTGCTTCACTTCTAGCGCGGAATGGTCCCTCCTCCCTTTCCTACCTCCATGGCTGTATGAGTGAGTGATTCGATAGTCTTTACATAAACGCTAGAACTAGAGGAGAGATGGACCAGACGAAAAGAATTTTACAGGATGTTCTGCAGGTTTTAAAAATTAGTGATTCAGACTCCTTGTTAAATACGACTAGTAAGGTATATAATTTCATAATACTTTATTTCCTAAACTATGAACAGAATATTTACCTACTCTAGAAGGATTGGAAACTATTGACTAATTATTTTATGGGAGAAAAGACTGTCTGTTTAAAAGAACAATTAAGAAGTAGATTTTAAGTGACTGTTATTGGTATTTTCGAAGAATTCTGGATCTTAATTACTAGTATTTTTGATTAACGGTTAATTCTATTTCAGTAATTACTTAAACCGATAACTTCAGGGCCATGTTTCGTCATATTTTGCTTTCCAGTTTATAAAAAAAGTTGTCAGATTCGAATATTTTTGTAAACTGGCAAGCAAAATATGAATATTGTGACCGTCCAGGCATTTTATCTTCAGGTGTATTTACAGTATTACCACTGTTAAAATGTTGACAGTATCTCAGAATTGAACATCGAAGTATGGATGTGTGCTCAGTGTATTTTTTATGAAAGATTAATTTATTAAAAGAGACATTTTTATTTTAGATTTGACATGTAAAAAGAACAGGGTAGGAAAAAAAGGGTACTTAACAGTATTATTTCATCGACCATGAAAGTTGTGTAACATTGAATCATTAAAGTTGGCGAAGATCCTACACAAGTTGCATCAATTCCTACTGAATTTCGGAGGAACTGACACCTCTTTCATAAAGAATCAGTATTCGATTCACTTCACTTTTTTGTTTCATAAAAAAGCCTATCCTCGATTTCTATTTCTATATTGTGAGGCACTCGGATTTTACCAAAAGATCTCTAGAATTCTTTTGAATAAAAACTTCTTGCAATTGATTGTTCCATTCTATTACTGTTTTATGGACCATATTCAGGAGAACAGGTCATGTCCATTAACTGGTACTTTTTAGGGTGGGATCCCATAACTTCAAAAATAATCTGATGCTTGTAGTTCTGTAGAAGGCAGATGGTAAGTTTAAATATTTTGTATGAAAGATAAAAGAAAAAAAACAGCAATAACATTTCATTTATATCCATAGGTTAATATGCAAATACTGAAATAAATGATCAAAATATGATTATGGTATATATAAGGGTTTATTCAAGCAGCTTAATTTATCAGTGTACTTACGGAAATTAAAATTCATTTAACATGTTGATGGTGTCATGGATATTAATTGTTCTTTTCATGCGGTGGCACTTGAATTAGGGGTCTGTTCTTTTTGCGAATCATCCAGTTAGAGTAGATTGAAGGGTGCCCCTTGGATTATCGCTGAGTTGTTGTTTCATTTACCACCAAGTTGTTTCATTTATGGTAACCGAATATTTGATTGCTTTACAAACCCTATTATAATGTTATTGGTTGCGTGATTGCAGAAATTTGAATGATGGGACAGATTTTGGATGCAAAGTATATTCTTATTTTGTGGTTTACATGGTAAAATATCTGAATGTGGTAAGATTAATTTAAAGTTTCTGTATGATTTAAAAGAAAAAAAAAAAAAAGCATGAATTGACTAGTGTGTAAATTAAGGTTTACTTAGTTGCCATTTTAAGTGCCCTGTTTGTAGGAAGGAACTGCGTATGGTCGAACATCGGAGGATATTTCGACTCTTATTTTTGTGAATTTATGTGGCAACACCAGTATACAGATTCTAGTTCAGATAATTTTAGGAAGTTTTTGTATGCTGTTAAGGAATTTTGTTTGACTGAAGAGAGGGAAATTTGTAAATAAGGTAAGTGGATATTTCGGTAAAAGTATATTTACAGGTACCCCTTGACGATTTTTCGCAGTAAAAAGAGGCGAGTTTTTGCAATTCTTGTTATTTTCAGGCAGCATATTTCAATGAAAATATCCATTTTGACCCCTATCTAATGCAATTTAACGATGTTTTTGCATGATATCTGTACATACGGACAGAATAAGACTCTTTTCCTTCAAAAAAATAATAAAACTGCTTTAAAATTAATTCTGAAGAGAATTTTTCGTGGCGTCTGTACGAACGTACACACGTATCTCGCATAACTCAAAAACGAGTAGCCTCAGAACGTTGAAATTTTGTATATAGAACTGCTATAACATGTAGATGTGCACCTCGTATTTTGGTTACAATCGGCCGCACCAAACATATATAAATATATTTATATATACACTGAAGTGACAAAAGTCATGGAATAGCAATGTGCAAATATACAGATGGCAGTAGTATTGCGTTGAAAATGTATAAATGCGAAGTGCTTTGGCAGGGCTTTCATTTGTGTTCAAGTTATTAATGTGAAGAGGCTTTGACGTGATTATGGCTGCACGAAGAGAATTAACAGACTTTGAACGCAGAATGGTAGTTGAAGCTAGACGCACGAGTCATTCCATTTCAGATATCGTTAGGGAATTCAACATTCCGAGATCCACAGTGTCAAGAGTGTGCCGAGAGTATCTAATTTCAGGCATAACATCCCACCATGGACAGCACAGTGGCCGACCACCTGCACTTAACGACCGAGACCAGCAGCGTCTGCATAGAGTTGTCAGTGTTCACAGACAAGCAACACTGAGTCAAATAACCGCAGAAATCAATGTGGGACGTACGAGGGGCGTGTCCGATAGGACAGTGTGGCGAATTTTGTCTTCCTTGGGCTATGCCAGCAGAAGTCATTCCATTTCAGATATCGTTAGGGAATTCAACATTCCGAGATCCACAGTGTCAAGAGTGTGCCGAGAGTATCTAATTTCAGGCATAACATCCCACCATGGACAGCACAGTGGCCGACCACCTGCACTTAACGACCGAGACCAGCAGCGTCTGCATAGAGTTGTCAGTGTTCACAGACAAGCAACACTGAGTCAAATAACCGCAGAAATCAATGTGGGACGTACGAGGGGCGTGTCCGATAGGACAGTGTGGCGAATTTTGTCTTCCTTGGGCTATGCCAGCAGAAGATCGACTCGAGTGCCTTTACTGACAGCACGACATCGCCTGCAGCGACTCTCGTGGGCATATCGGTTGGTCCCTAAACGAATGGGAAAACCGTGGCTTGGTCAGATGAGTCACGATTTCAGTTGGTAAGAGCTGATGGTAGGGTTCGAGTGTGGCGCAGACCCCACGAAGCCATGGACCCAAGTTGTCAACAAGGCACTGTTCAAGCTGGTGGTGGTTCCATAATGGTCTGGGCTGTTTTTACATGGCATGGACTCGGTCCTCTGGTGCAACTGAACCGATCATTGACTGGAAATGGATACCTTCAGCTACTTGGAGATCACTTACAGCCATTCATGGACTTCACGTACTCAAACAACGATGGGATTTTATGGATGACAATGCGCCATGTCACCGGGCCACAATTGTTCGCGATTGGTTAGAAGAACATTCTGGACAATTCCAGCGAATGATCTGGCCACCTAGATCGCCCGACATGAATCCCATCGAACATTTATGGGAACATCATCGAGAGGTCAGTTCGTGCCCAAAACCCTGCACCGTCAACACTTTCACAATTATGGACGTCTATGGAGGCAGCATGGCTCAATATTCTTGCAGGGGACTTCCAACGACTTGTTGAGTCCATGCCACGTTGAGTTGCTGCACTTAGCTGGGCAAAAGGAGGACCGACAAAATATTAGGAGGTATCCCATTACTTTTGTCACTTCAGTGTATATTCACTCTGTTACCCGACTCAGTGATCTCAGTTTCTTTACTCTTATATGTTTGTAAACTGTGCATTTTTTGCTTTAAAAATGATTGTATTTTTTTTATCTTCCGGTTAAGGTTTTTATGCCTTTAGTAAATCTGTATGCAATATTTTTAGAATTATCAACAATTTTAAAGTTGTCTAAGTGCCGCTAAGCCTTTTTTTTTTTATGGCGGCCATTGATGTTTACATTTGAAACAGGAGACTAGTGGATTTGTTGCCAATCTAGAGAAACTTAGCTTCGCAATAACAAAGATAATGCATTCATTTATTATTGCCAATTAAATCATGCTTAATTCTTTCTAGAATTTTTTCGAGGAAATAAGTGTTTAAGATTTATTTCTTAATTTTTAATATAGATATTTTGAGTTTTTCTGTAGTTTTGCCTTCTCGCGAAGTGAGAACTGAATTAATTAAATGAGAAATACTCAATCATCTGTGAAAAACTGTTTCTTTTTTGTTTTGTTTGCTTAATTTCTTTTATACATCATTCTAGCTTTATTATAGTATTTGAATAGAACATGTGGTGATGATTAGATAATTTTATTCTTTAAATGATATAAATTTTGTGCATTATGAGTTATAATATGAACGAAATATATAAGTTAACTGTTATATAATTATTGGATTATATAACAGTTAACTTAGTTTCCGTTATATAATTATTATATAAGTTAACCATTATATAATTATTAAAACTGTTAAGTGAATCTAGCGCCAGAGTGTCGTTATGGTAAACAAATACTAGAGTGAGTTTTAAAGAATGCATTTATTCTGTTGTGGTTTATACGTTGTCGGCGAAGTAGATTTAATTCAATCCAATAAGTTTAAATGAAATGCAAGAAAAAATGCATATAATTTAATATTTCATACAAGGAAGTCATGTGTACACATCAGATTTTTTTCATTTAATTAAATTTATATTATTATAGTCAGATTTATATTATTTGTCGAAGTTTCTGAAAGTACTGTAAACCCAGAAAAAATTTTACAGTATATTTATTGATGTGCATATATGAAACTAAGCAGTTCGTTCAAAGATTCACTTTTGGAATAATTTATTTATATTTCTTAAATGATTAAAATGTCTTACCGACGATAATATATACAAAAATATACGTAGCGTATTCGGAAACTAAGTACTGTTTCATTCTAGCACCGTCGCAGTGCTGTGGTAGGCGTCCCGCGTATGCGCACTAGTCTTTCTTGTTCACTGACTTTCAATTGTCGCCATTTTGGTTGCTCTATGTTGTGTTTTCAGTTTGCTGTGCACATTCAAAATGTTTAAGACAATTAGTTCTCCCGCTGACTGTGAGATTCGTGCCGTGATTAAATTTTTGAACGCAAGGAATGTTA